ATTATTCACCAAGACTTCAATCTTCGGAAGAGTCAAATTTTTCACCATTACTGTATTTAACTTGTAGGAAGAGGGGTTTTCGTGGCCTTCGGATTTCCGCACCCTCTCGTCAGCAGAAATCCGTTTTAGTTTAAATTATTTTTTCCTTTCCGTGCTTTCCTTCTTTTTCCACTGGCCTTGAGACTTTTTTCCTGGGTTGCTATTGAACTGTCGACGTTCGCCGGCTGTTTTTGAATGCTCGGGTTTCCTTGCCCACTGATTCGCTTTTTCTCCGTAGCCGTGTGCTTGAGTTTGCTGTAGTCTTGGCGTACCAAATTGGTTTCGCTGTTGATATTGGCGTCTTCTTTCGACGTCCGCCGTTCTTCTACTTTTACATAAATTTTCCTTTTGTGATTGGGAAAAAAAAATAAGTCCCTTGGGGCCAGTAAAGAAAATTTTTATTAAAATAATTTTCCAAAAATATGAAACGTATTTAAAAAAAATGATACTCAAAAGAGTGTTAGGTTTAAACAAAAATTATAGCAAAAACTGTGATGAAACCTAATCAGGTATGTAACGAAAATTTAAATTAAAAAAAATATGAACCGAAATGAATTATCCTAAAAAATATCCGATGGAATTCATTCATGTATGTTACGAAAATTTTAATTAAATAAAAAGAAATCTTACAGGGAAACTGGCGGCGCAGCGGTCGGATCGCTGAATATTGGTTTCATGAATTTGTAACATGCATAACAGACGTCCGTCCCTCATGCAGGTAGCCGCAGTATTACCTAAACAAAAAAAAAAAAAAAAAAAAAAAAAAAAAAAAATGAATTGCTTATTTAAGAAGAAAGAAATTTGTTACAATAGCAGGTCCCAGGATATACAACAATCTTTTTTTCATCTGTACTGCATCTAAACAGGAGCTTTATTCAATTCTGGTTCCTTCCAGAGATCTGGAAGGAAAACTAATTTAATGAAATGTTACACAATGACATTGCAAATAACATATAGAATATACTTCTCTTAACATTCTTATTTCATTCATGACTATTTTAATTATCTCTCCCCGTGCTCTCTGACATGTGTTGTAAAAGAACACCAAACACGAATGTGTTTTCTGTCTACGTGTGCCACACTTCCTCCTACAATCAAAACACTAACGTGTTAAAATTCAACATAACGAGACCTCTAAACACACCCTAATTTCAACTCTAAACCCTGAGGTACTATTCTAAAAGTGGCTAACTCTAAAGTGTAGCGTCAGAGAGCCTAACTACATCATTCACCCTTTAACACATATTCGCCATGATTTAGTCTTTACAGTCACACGAATAAGAAATTTTTAACATTACTTTCACTTTTACCATATCACGGTATTTCTTAACATTTAAAATAACAGAACATATCAACATGCCGTTAATTTTACAGATTTGAAAACATACATTAGTAGTACATTGTTAACGTCTATTCTTTTCAAAGCAAGTGCCAATTCTTTCTACATTGAAATAATACATTTCAAAAAGTCTTTCAGACTAAAACTTCTCTCTTGCTAGAATGTTTTAAATAAAATTTATACAATAACTTTTTACAATATTTAAGTCTTTACACAACGCTATTATACATCAACTTTAGTTTTACGCACAAGTAATTGAAAAACATAATACGAAAATCGGTCACTCTCATTTCTCGCCCTTTTGGCGATAAAGGTAGACCTCGCATGAGGTAAAACTTCTTGAAATCTGCAACTTGCAGTAAGAATGAAAGATTAACTTAAGTTTGCAAAGTAACATAAAATTTTACTTATCTTTGTAATATTTGGACATCCTTTTTTGGGCCCAGTCTTTAAAGGTACTGCAGATAGTAGCTTGATTTATCCTCCTTCTTGTACGGGCTCGCCCTTCAGTGCTTTCCTCTGGAAGCTTCCGTTTTTCACCAGTTCGGCCACCCTTGAACACCTTCCTTTTCTCCTCTGCTTGTGGTCTTGGCCGTTTGAAGGCAGCTGGTCTTGGCGGAACCGGGAAACTTCTGTCGTGATCCTGCTTGGACCTCGTTGTTGGCCGTTCAAATTTTCCTTGTACTTTTTCCTCCGCCGCTGATGGCCCTTCTGCAGTTCGGCGACTTTTGCTGCGGAGAGTTCTGTCGGATGAGTAGATCTTCCGTTTTAAAGCCGGGTTATAGTTGCCGTCATTTCTCCTGGTCCTCTTCACATATGTCGTCCTTCTCCCTTCTTCATTCTGGGGGTGTTCGTGAACATGGAAACTTCAGAGCTGACAGTATTTTATGACGTTCTTGCAGTTCGGATTTGTTTACAAATTGTTCGTCTCCAAAAGTTTGCCAAATTTGTCGTATTTCATGCTGATCGTGTATTATCACTGTTATATAATAGAATTTTATTTCTTAAATTTAACTTGACTAATTTTTTAAAATCCGTTTGTATATATGCGGCTTTTCTCCTAATTACTTATCTTTTAAATTGTTAATTGCATAATCAGTGACACATTTTTAAACAGCATAAAAGATGCATAAAAAAAAGAAAAGCATAGCTTATATAATAATGAGAATGCTCATTAAATTTGTCAGTTATTTTCATGTTATTAATGAAATACTTTTTGGATTATAAATACATTATACTTTTATTGTAACATATTGAAACATTGGCAATTTATGGATTTATTATTATGCATGATGAAAAACATTTGTATATTCATTAATATAAATCTTATTCATTACATTAATACTAATAAATATATATCAACAACTTCTAAACCATCGCATCGCTCTATCTGTATGTAAATATATGACTTATTAGATGTGTATATATATGTATGTATGAATACAAAAATGAACATTGCCAAAAAGTTTATTTGAAATTACTTTTAATTCATATAACGATTATGTAATTGGCAGGAACTGTAGTCATCAGTTCTTTGCAAATAATCAGTTGAAAAATAATTGATGAGCATTTGTGTACTAAAGAGTGTACATATTTTGTTATTGGGTTAATTCATAATTATATCATATGTATGATCTACATAATATAAACATGACTAATAAATAATAAGAAATGTAACAGCTGTGCATTTATAACATTTGATTACTTAAAACAGTGCACAACTGATTATCACCTTCGTGTCTGTTTACATAATGAATTGTACTCGTACTTTCCAATTAAGTGCATGGGCCTACTAGTGGCCGAAACATCGTTGAACACTGGTAATTCTGTCTCAGGTTAGAATGCCGCGAACAGGCTGGCTACATGGGCGTTTTCTTGGTTTTCCCCATTTGTAACTGATATACGAGCCAGTTTTAAAAAATCTACAAAGGGATCCCTCCTGTTAGGCAGATATCCCTCGAGGCTTTGCCGTAATCACATAAAAAAAAACTCATGATGTGCACCACCTAATTTCTAGAGTTGGTATAATTAATGTGTTTTAGGTATATTACCGAGTGTTCTATGGGACAGTAAAAAACTCGCACATGTTTGATTGCTCATGTATTCATATGCTTTATTTGATCTTCATTTTGCTGAATAGTATCTGCTGGCTGTGAGGATGTAAATATCAGCCATATAGATTTTTGTCATAGAAGGTCTTTTTTTTTTTTTTTTTTTTTTGCCTGTTTGTTTGTTTTAATGGACAGAACAGTAATTATAAAGTTAGTCAAGAAAATCCTTTCACTAGGTCACAAATTTTCCAATGAGCGATCAAATTTTCATTGGAATGCAGACAACAGAAAATACACATAAGTAATGTCTGATAAATAGACTTATCCAGCACACATTTTAAACTATTCTTAGTGTATACAGAATTTGGCTATTACTGATGTAATTAATTGCTATAACCAGAAGTATGTTTATCTGTTACTTGAAGTGCCAGGGTGGAGATTAAAGTGATTAACTTGATAGCAGTCACCTTTCTATTATCTTTCATTACTAACAATAAAGTTTAAAACGAAAAGAGTGTGAGCGATACAAAACAACACGAAGAAGCAAACGTCACTTTCGCCAATCTGAGTGATAACTGATTCTTGTTTGGCTTTTAGCCTGTTTACCAAGTGAAGATGATAACCCTATTTCGCCAAAGAGCGTTTCTCAGAACTGTTCCACCAAACGTTTTGTTCCGGTAACAAATATTGTATGTGATAAGGGTTTTAGTTGTTTGGACATATTTTAAGAATATGCATGTACACATAATTAGTTATTCAGAAGTGTGGGTGAAAATGTTTTTTAATCATATTTTTGGGCAAATTGTAAGCTTTTGCTGACCATTATAATGGGCAGACAGGGAGGGGGAAAATCATTTTTGAAACAAATTTTCTTTTTGCCCTAGTTCATTGTTTTGTATGTTTCACATTTGCACAAAATAGCTTATGTAAGGCTTGTGTGTTGGATGGTTAAATGCCAATATATATGTATATACATTTGGAAATAGAAAATGTATTGGAAATAGATAAAGTTTCATGAAAGGGAGGTATATTATACCAGCCAGCATATGGTTTCTTAGAAAATCAAGAATGAATTATTTACCGCTGTGATAGTGATCCTGTAATTTGAGCGTATGATTCTGTGGTAATTTATGCAATCCCACTCTAGATTTTTTTTTAGTGGGAAATAAGACTGATATTGAGTATGAAAAAGATATCATACTGCTTATTGTTTTGAATAGTGAATAAATGTTCTTTTGTCTTTATTTGTGGGGAAGGAAAACTAGTAAGTTAACAGTTTGTATTTTTGTCGAATGAAGCCAAAATGCATGAAATTTTCTTATTGGCTGAAGGGGGGGGGAAACAAAAAAAAAACTGAATGATGCAATCTTTTTCACTAAAACTTGAAAGAAAAAAAAAATTAGATAGTTTTTTGTAGAAGCTTATTCAGATTTGATTATTTTTTATAAGTTTTTTGTAGAAGCTTATTCAGATTTCATTATTTTTTATAATAACTAGAAATCACATTCAGTATTTCATGTTTGCATAGTATTTTTGTCATAACTGCTTTCAGTAGATTTTTTTTTTTAAAGCTTTTAAATCAAATGGATGGTTTTGATTCCCTTGGTCAAGTTAAAATAATTATGGCAACCAACAGACCTGATACTCTGGATCCTGCTCTTCTTCGTCCAGGTCGACTTGATCGTAAAATAGGTAATTTCTTTAATGAACAAACGGCATGAATGTTTGATTTTATTGTTTTCTATTTTCTTATGTTCAGTGTATTTAAACTCTGCACTTTGTAGGTGTCTGTTAATTGACGACTGAAGCATTTATTATGTGTATCAAAAGTTACTTCTATAATGCATAAGATTAATGCTGGGCAAGTTTATATTTTACGAACGACAAGATGCACTTTTTTCTTCAAAAAATTGCCTCCAAAATTCAGGTGTGTCTTATACTCGAAATTAATATAAAAATGTCCAGTGTTAGATTTAAAATTCCCTCCAGCCTTAAAAATGGCCATATATTGGATGCCGCAGGAAAACTATCTGTATCTGGCAACATTGGTTTCAACTGGCAGTAATTGGCAACACTCTCTCCCTCATCACAAACATTGTCTAGCCTATGAAGTGTCATTGCAGTCTACGGTGCCAGTGAACTTGAATTGATAGTGATTTGTGTTATCAATAACAGTTCAATATTTTTGTTAGTGGCTAGTTTCGCGATGGAAAAAAATAAAAGGTATTCATATGATGCGGGCTATAAATTGAAAGTAATAGCATATGCAGAAAAACATGAAAACAGAGTAAGCTGAGCAACGTTTCGACTCTCCACCAACAAAAAAAAAAAAAAAAAAAAAAAAAAAAAAAAAAAAAAAAAAAATGCGATTGGCGGGCTTGGAAAGAAGAACTGAAAAAATGAGGAAGACTAAATGTGCAAATTGGAGCTGAATGCAAAATGGCCAAAACTAGAAGATGATGTATTGAAATGGATTCAAGGACACCAACAAAATGGCATTGGGATTAATAATAATAATAATAATAATAATAAAGAGAGAGAGTGAGAGAAGATATTACTGTTAAATCTTTCAAGAAGTGCAGCATAAGTAACGCTCTTGATGGCAGTGAAGACCATCTTGTATATGAAGAAGGCAATGATGACAATGAAGAGGGAGAAGAAAGTTCAGATGACGATTTTCAAGGACAGTTCTGTTTTATGCATTAAGAATATTTTTTTTTAGTCTGGCTTTATAATCTATTAATAATAATGTTATTTTTTAAAGAACTTGCTTAAACATTGAGGTGTGTATTATAGTCCATAAAATACGGTAACTATTTAATATGGTAATATATTAGTAGTGCTTCATTTAGGAGTTAAGGTTTCAATTTGATTGATAAGCTTCTTCATCATTTGTGGATGAGAAAGGAGTTCTGCATATGTAAGTATGGAGACAGGCTGACGCAAAAAAGCTTTTATTCTAAAGGATAGTGGAATTTCATTGCTGAGTTTAATGTATAGAAAGTCATAAAAATCATTATTTTTAAATGTTAGATATTATTTCATTTCTGTAAAGTTCAATTATTCTATTAATAAGAACTGAAGTATATTTAATTTTACTATATAACATGGAGATACTAATTCAAAATTTATTCTGGGAACTTCAAGAAAGGAACAAGGAAAAAAAAAAATTCAGAGTGGATGACCAACTTTCAAAAGTGAAAACTATTTCTGAACTGTAGAACCATCTTAATTTATTTTGCCATTTGTTCCAGAGATAAAGCTGACAGATCTCACTACATATTGCCCAAAGCAGCAATAGAAAAGACAACTTCCAACAAATTTGACAGTTCCAGACAACTTTGATTTTACTAATGAAAGAGTACGAGATGTGGTTTCTTCTTAAAAATAAAGCACCAAGACCAGATGGTATAAACTATTCAATAATTAAAGTGGTCACCTATGACAATATTAATCTTTTCCACAAATATTTCAATAAACTTCTCACTACAGATACATTTTTGAATAAGGCTTTCAAAATAGGCAAAGTCATACTGTTCCCAAATATGAGCAGGGATCCAGCCTGTGCAAATTCTTACCATGTATTCTGATTACTGCATTAGGCAAAACAGCTGAAAAATTATTCATTAACAGACTTAAACATCATTTACATCAAAATTATTTTAGCCCATATCAGTACGGATAGCTATCACTGTTATTTGTACATTCTCAGGATGAACTACACGTGCATTAATTGACATACAGGACAAAATTTTAGAAAATAAAGCACACAGCATACATTAATTTTGATTTTAAAATTACCTTTGACACCTTGTGGTGGTCAGCCATAAAACAAGCTTAACAGAAGCATAGCGCTCAGATAACATTTACTGAACTTTTTAGTAGTTATCTAATGGATTGCCAATTAATTATAGCACACAACAATGGTAATATTAAACATGATCAAACAAGAGGCTGCCTGCAAGCCATCATCTGTAGAGTCTTAACTTCAATAAAATCCTTACAGCATCATGGCCAGAACATACTTGAATATTTGCATAGGTAGATAATGCAGCCCTCCTTGTAAGAGGAAAAACTAGTGTTGAAATGCAGAAAAAAACCTACAGAAATCGACAATCAATTTTACTTCCTGTGTAATGTTCTAAAATTGCAAATCCCTGAACAGAAATCCTCCTAATCCCAAAGAAAGGAGGCTTACTGAAGCATTGACCATCTGTATCTCTAAATAGTAAAAGGTTGAAAATAATGATTTAGCCAAAATACCTAAACCTTATGTTTGTTTTTCATTAAATAATGAAAAATAAACATGGATCCTACACATTATGAAACTCAAAATGCGTACCACCATTATTGCTAAACAATTCAGCATTTAGGAAGATATGAATGGGGATTGAAGCACCACATTTAAAAGCTTCTTTATTCCACAGTTGTGGAGAAAATTGCAACATATAGTGCAGCAGTATGGGCTCAACCCATGGAAAGATGTAAAACCAAATATCTGTCTAGCCAGCTCCCTTTTTACTGAATATCAAGCCTATCGCACTACTTGTACAAATGCAGTCTGTGTCTTTGCAGGGCTCTTACCTTAGCACATAAAAACTGAAGAAGAAGCAGTCTTTCAAGTAGTCAAACAAATGAAAAAAAACAGCATCCTTAGATGAAAAATATTTCGCATAAGTAAATATGAATAGCAGGCTCCACACATGCACATACATCCATCACAAAAAGACATAGGAACCGAGATCAAACTCAGCAATATAGACAGCATACATTCCATCTCAATTATCAAATTAGAAATTTATACAGATGGTTCAAAAGTTGAGCACAACGTTGGAAGCTCTTTTGTAGTTCTACGTCATGAACATTTAGAATATCAGTGGAAAAGTCACCTATAGAGCAACGGTAATGTGTTTCAAGTTGAGCCAATAAGTATTGCCGAGGCCATACACTGTATACATAGATAGCAAATTTATAATGTCAAAGTAAAAAAATTGATAGTCTCTCTTTGGTACAATTTTAAATCTGCAACACCCTTTGCCAATCATTGCTGGCATATAAAACGACCTAAGGAAATTTAAAAATTACAATATCACACTAGAGTGGATTAAAAGAACATGCTTGCAATCACAGCAGTGAGATAGCTCATTGTCTTGTAAAAAATGTTGCAACAGAAGCAATGGTTCATCAGACTTGCGAGATCTTATGGCTCCCATCACACCTGAAGAAAAGCCTAAAATTAAAAGCAATAGCATAATGGCAAAAAGAGTGGGATTTTAGTGATACAGGCTGAAGAATGCATTATCACATTGCATATAGTTAGTAAGATACATCTTGGGGACATGTTCCATTCCCCATTTATTTTGCATGATTTGGAATGAGAGACACATAATTCTCATATAACATATGGAAAATAAGAAATCCAGTCGAACTGCACTTTACCCAATAGTCTACATATAAATATTCCAATAACAAATAAAGAAGTCACCCAAATTATGGAAAAACTATCTACATTAGGAACCAGATTTGTATCTCACTGCATGAGTATAATAGCATAAAGTACGCTTCCCCTGCAGTAAATACATTTTAAACCAGTTATTAATATCAGACTTTTATGTGAGTATAACTCAATATATGACATTGATTGCAGATGTTTCACCTATATATGCATATTTCACCATATGTATGTATTTTTTTAAAATAAAGGTGGATGTGGTGCTATACTAATTAATCATATGATAAAGGGATCTCTTATCACTCATCTATTTATTGCACTTTCATTATTATCTCTTACAGTAAAAATATATGCAATGGCCATTTGCAAAGAATTAGTATTGTATCACGTACCATTAAGTAAAATGTTATAAATGCTATATATTTGTAACTCAAAATATTTTAAAGCATTGCATAGAAGACTTTTGATTTTAACTTATGTGCATTAAAAATAAAATATTTTTACTAATAGGAAGAGTAATTCAAGAACATTTATTTATTTAGAAATTCCTCTTCCAAATGAGCAGGCTAGATTAGAAATTTGTAAAATACATGCTGCACCAATTACCAAACATGGAGAAATAGGTAAGCTGCATGTTTATATACTTTAGAGTATGCTTTATATTTTATGATCTTACTGAAATTGATTTTTTTTTTTTCTCTTATGCATAAAATTAGATTGGGAGGCAGTTGTAAAACTTTCTGATGGTTTTAACGGTGCAGATTTGAGGAATGTTTGTACTGAAGCAGGTAAATGTGTTAAATATTTATTGTGTTTGTAAACCTCGAAGTATAATCTGATATAAACCTGACTTTTTGTATTTAATTATATGACATTACTGTTTCATTGCTACAGAATTTTCAGAAATTTTTTGTTTGGGATTTTGTTTTTTCTATGGACTTAAGAAAAATAATTCAAAAGTAAGAAACTGAAGTTATTTTAACACAGTGATAAGGGTATACTGTAAAAATCAGATGGTCTTAATTTCTACATCTTTTTAACTCATTATATTTGTAACTAAAATATAAAAGTTAAATCAAAATTTTGGTGATTAACAGACTAACAGAGAAAAAATACACAAGTTATGTAGATTGGGGGGGAAGAGCTTTCAGATTTTATATTACGCTTAAAGGAGCATTTGAGCTAAAAATATTTAAAAACGGTATATACAGTCAAAAGTCTTTAATCTGGACTCGTCGGGACTTCGGTGATTCTGGAATATCGATTTTTCCGGATTATAGATCATCAGTTTAAATCTGGTAAGATGGCATGCAGAAATTATAAAATTAAAAATATGAACCGTAATTTATAAAATAATGAGCAATTATGATCTAAAGGGTATCAAAATTTACAAAAAAAAAGCTTAATATTTATTTGTTTACTTTATTAAACATTTCTTTCAACGCGCGCATGCGTAAAGCATACATTATGCATAGCCGAAATTAGAAAATTGCAACCAGAAAACTATTTGATTTGTATTCGTGATATTTATAATGACGAGGAATTTGATTTAAATCATATCAAAGACGAAGTACATCGAGATGAAATACTACATTTAATAAGGAATTATAAGCCGAATAAAATAAAAAACATCTGCCCTGAAGATAACGATAGTGTTGACAGATCAACTTCCAGTTCATTGCGCGCCGCCACGTTATTTCTTCACAGGATGAGAAACATATATACATTCATGCAGATTCTTTATTATTTAATTTCTTTAAGTATAATACAGTGTGATAATATTTAGTGGGAGCAATTTGAAAACTAATACAGCTATTTATAGCGATTCTATGCAGAATAACCATTTTGAGACTAATAGCCCTTCTGGGTCAAAAAGATAATAAAATTATTCAATGAAACAAATTGTTGAAAATGCTTTTCAAAGAACAGGCAAATATTTTTTAAACAGAACTAATTGCGTATATACCATCCACCATTTTCATTTTTACAGCTTCTTTACAACTCAATGCAGTTCTCGAATTTTTATTTTTTTCCCATTTTATCAAACCAACATCCTACTACTGAACTTGGTTCAACACAACATCAGTATGCTTCCTTTTTCTTTGTCCCCAGTCACATCTATTACATAGTGATTCCAAGGAACATTTTTATCTTCTTTTTTTTCACTCAATTTATTTAATGCATTCTTTTTCTAATTTAGGCCATATGCCTGTGATAATACTTCACATTTTGGGCTATATCCTTTCATTCTTAACATAAGTAACTTGGTTTTGTTTCTTTTCCTTGGCATTTAACTGCTTTTGCTTCAGTCTTCCTTGGGTTCTACATAATTAGAAAAATTAATTTAATTTATTGCATTGAATTTAGCCAATGGCATGTGGATGGATTCTGAGTTGCTGATAGCCTATCATTCTCAAATTTTTTTTTTTAAAGTTTTGTTTCCTTTAGATTTTAAGAATTTGATTTATAACCCTTTTGTGGCAATTTTGAAAAATACTGATTTAGCTTGATGCTTCTGATTGTTTATTTAGTTTCAAGAATTCTTGTTGTGTGCAATATTTTTTGTTTTGTGTCATGTTAAAGCAGGTTATATCATAATGATTTATTAAAAAGGACTATATTTTTTTAATGTTTTATCTATTGCATTCTTTATTTGCATTAAAAAATTAATGGGTTTAAATAATTTTTATTTATTTGGCATTACTTTTAATTGTAGAAGTATAATAATTAAGATATAATTTAGAAATGTGGCTGTGTTAACTAATTTATTTTTTTTCTCTTCTTCCTGTTAGACACCAAAATTTTGATTTAATTATTATCTTGATTATTTAATTAATTTCACAGCATAGTGCATGACTTTAATAATTTATAATCTTAATTTTCAAATTTCTTAACTCTTGTTTATATATCTGTCTATTGAAAATACCATTTCAACTACTTAAAATTCTCAATAATTTCTATGAGAATTCTTTAAAAAAACCATGAGTTATTTAAAATATGGGGGGGGACTATGAATTTCACAGAAGAGGGCAAAGGAAATGGTACATAAAATGGAGCCAACTTATTAATCCAATGATTGGTGAAATGCTCATGTGTTGAATGGTTACTGGTTTTGATGAGTACCTAATTGTAAGTCTACACTTTCTGACTGACACTCTCTTTCTCATCAAGCACCTTACAATGAAGAGCAGTTTAACAGGTTCATTTAGATTACGGCGAGAAAACATAGCATGTGGTTCTTGTGAGTTAAACTAACAGTTTGAGAACAAAAAATAAGAAAATAAAATTACCAAGCCAGAAAGATTCTACAGAATTTTTATACATTAAAGTAACAAAATTTTAAATAAGACTGCCGTAAATCTCGAAACATCACTTTCTAACTCTTTAAGAAATGAATCATCACTCTCATCTGTGTTAGTAAATGGTTCATTAACCATACGAGTGTATTCTTCCTCTGATAGTTAATCACACCATAATAAACTGGAAGTGAGGCTTTCTGAAATAAAAAGAGAAGGACCTGAAATATATCTGAAGGCAATGCAAAACGTAACAAAGCTCCACATAGTAACCCTAAAAGACTGTACATAGTAGAGGAAAAAAATAGAATAAAAAAAGGATTTGGATTAGCATGTGGCGATTTAAAGAGCCCACCTTTGTTTATGCTTTTTCCTCTCCCCCTCGCAACAGTTGATGAGTAAAATACTAAAGTCAGGGAGAATATATCAAACTCAAGGTCAGGAACCTAAAACTGTGTTCATTTCAAAAGTAATGGACATAGGTCCTTTTACCTTTTTACCATTACCTTTCTGAAGACCATTTAGTGGTCCATCTAAAAATGCATATACGCATCACCTGTCCTCTGAATGCAATCTTTAGTGATGCGTGGATGAGACGCCCGGCTGTAAGATACATTCTTAGGGAATGCATATATGGGATGCCCGTCCGGAAAGGGTTAAAATTCATGTGAATCATCACACTGCAACAAAGATTTTTCAGATATGCATGGCATAAAAGATGACTGTAAATGGCATGTATTTTCTGCAAGGCCTAAGCAAAGTAGATCAGTAAATCTGAAAGAAATATAAAAATTTTCGTAAAAGACTTGTAAAAGCTGAATGTTATTTTGTCCAATTTTTAACTTCCGAGTTTGGTTTTGGACCATTCAAAATAGCTTTTTAATGCAGCATTTCCGGATTCTGACATAGTAAATAAAAAGTGCTACAGTTGTGAAAATGCTTGGAAAAAGTATTGTTGCCAATATTGTAAAATCAATGTGAAACAAATAATTTGTTCTTAAGTAGTGATGGAAATAACAATAACAAACTGTACCTTTTCTATATGATATATAGCAAAGAATAAGGATTAATAATTACTTCATTGATTTCTGTTGTAGGTGCCGCTTAACATAATCATGTTTGTCCATGGCTATTTTGAAAACACTTAATGATTAGAAAATTTCTTTCAAAACAGCAAAGAAACTTTATATAAAAATATCAGAAAACATATAAATAGATATTTTCACAGCATTTTAATTTGAATAATGCAAAGTGAACTAATGAACTATTTATTCATCTTTCTGGAAATTATTTGACGGATGCTGGATCCCTAATCTAAATATTTGGAGGCCATCCTTTACTGGAACAAGACATGGCAATGTAAAATTTTAAATTAAGCAAAATGGCAATCTTAATTTGCCGTATATGTTTTTAGAGATTTTTTTCCTCCTGAGAAAAATTATGTAGATTTTTTCCCAATGAAGAAAAGTTTATGTATAATTGCCCAGAAAATTTGTGTCACACTTAAGGTTGCTTTTTTCCCTAATTTTAAATGGTTAACTGGAATCAAAAACGAGATATTTGGTGACTTAACACCTTGCTTGGAGGCATTTGTCTGCCACTTGGCAATCTTTGTAATCCATTTTGATAACTTTTAGTTAAAAAATTATTTAATAATTTGATCATTTTAACCAAATTGTTGGTCATGGTAAGAGACTTATTTTCCATGTTTTGCATACACAAAAGGGTTAGACTTTGGCAACTTGATAACGTAACTGTGTATTAGATTGCATGAAAAATACAGGAGAAGGTAATTTTAATTGTATAAATGAATATTTTATAAATAAAAGTTTAGAATGGAAAGGTTGCTTATTATTTTCTTAAGACAATGCTAATAATGTGAGAAAATTTCATGGTGTAGCATCATTTATCTGACTGCATTAACCAGCTGCAAACATCTGAAGTTGCACGTATCAATCTTGCATATAGTTACAAAAGAAGCTACTGAAAAATTAATTGACTTGGAAATAAAAATTGTATTAATAGGTGTATATATATATTTCGAGAAGTTCAAAATGGAAGCACAGCTTCAAACTCAACCAAATAGCTTTCTCTACAGTGGAATATTCTTAAATTTTTTTTTGGTGCTCAGTCAGATAATAATGAAGGAAAGGAAATGCAAAACATTAAAAAAAAGTTAGTTGCCTACAACCAAATACAGTTTCTTATTTTTAAAAAATGTTTATAATAAATATTAATTTTTGCTATATATTATAAATAGTATATAATTTATGTATATAACATTATATGTAAACCGAGAGGTAACTTGAACTTTTAATGAATTTGTTAGATTCATATGATCATCAGTAATTTCTGAAGAAGATGCAGAAATGAATCTGGCATCCATTCATTTGAACAAGTCTAAATTAAAAGAAAATGAAAATTTAGTGATTGGTGCATAAACAAGTGAAATTATTTTTCAATTCTTAATGAGCCCCACCCCTTTTTTTTTGTAAATGCGTGTTTATATAATATTGGATCTTCTAGAAAGTTCTGCAGTTCTTTTGGTGATAAATCAAATGAAGCGATACAAAAACATACAGGAAGTCTGTTAGAAAAAATATAGTTTACTAATAATTAGAAATTTATAAGGTTAAGTCTTTTTAAGTAAGAGAAAAAATATGTAACAGAAGTAATGAATGACATAAGCAAATTAATAAAAAATAGGGGAGGATATAAAAAATTTTTGTCAGGAAAGAAAAAGAAAGGAGGCAGATGATGATTCCATCTTTTTCTGACATTGTCTAGAAGGCTAAACGACTACATTTAGAAGACTTACTTATGTAGCAATTCATAGTTTTCTAATGATATCAATATTCAATTTCAACAACGATAGCAATTCCAGAAATTTTTAGTTTGTAGATCAGCAGCTTAAATCTAGTAAGATGAAATTTTAAAATAATAATAATTTAAACCATAAGATTCAGTTCAAGAGCAATATCGCAAAATAATTTTAAATTGAGCATATCTTTAGAATTTCAGATGAATTTCAAATTTAGGCTTCCAAGTGCCCATATTCGCAGTAGGATTATGTCATTCAAAATTTGATGGCTCTAGGTACTGTTGTTTTATCATAATGCAAGAAACATGCATCCATTTATGCAGATTCTTCATTATTTAATTTCTTCAAATATAATACAGGGTGATAATATTTGATGGCAACAGTTTGAAAAGAGAAACGGACATTCAGAGTGATTCAATGCAAAAACGAAAACAATAGTCCCCCCACTGCTGTATTCAAACATTTTTTACAATGCTGTTTAAGCTGTTCATTTCCTAATATGTTATAGTCCTATAATTGTGTTAAAAATTTCCACTAAACTGTCAAATGAAATTTTTTCATTGTCAAAAAACTCTCTCAGTGTCTGTATTGATGTTTTCTGTGTTTCAAACCTATTACAGGCTTGCCATCTATAATTAATTGCCAATTGGAGCATTGCCATTGCAACAGAAAACTTTTGTTATATCACCTTCATTTATTATTACTTTTCAATTTATTTTTACAATTTTCCCCAATGCCTTCTATCAAAACCCAATTTTGAAATTTAACTTTACTATTTTGAGTTTTGAACAAATTGTGCCAACTAAGCATGCTTTTGCTTAACAAATCCTGTTACAACTATAGAATTAGAAAATGTTTACAACATTAATAAAAAATTCAAACTTTAATTTTGATAAGATACAAAGGGTGTTTACACATTTTTAGAACAATTTCAGTGAAGAATGTTAAGAAAGGAAATGTTTTAAAATAAAAATTTTTGGATACACTTATTATTTGAAATGAGAAATACCGTCAGCTCTTTTTAAATCTATGCGTTCAAAATGTCGCATGTAAACAAATTTTGAATTGAAGAATATGTTTTTGCATTATTCGAAGAAAAATGTTCTTATCCCTTTATTCAAAAATGTGAAACACATGGTATTAAAATTTCCAAGTGTGAAATGAACAGCATTATTGATCGGAAGGGGAAAAACTATTGGTTATTATTTCTACATTCTTTGTTTTTACATCTGTAACAACAAAAAAAAAAAAAAAAAAAAAAAGAAAAAAAAAAAAAAAAAAAAAAAAACAAAAAAAAAAAAAAAAAAAAAAAAAAAAAAAAAAAAAAAAAGAAAAAAAAAAAAAAAAAAAAAAAAAAAAAAAAAAAAAAAAAAAAAAAAAAAAAAAAAAAAAAAAAAAAAAAAAAAAAAAAAAAAAAAAAAAAATAAAAAAAAAAAAAAAAAAAAAAAAAAAAAAAAAAAAAAAAAAAAAAAAAAAAAAAAAAAAAAGGCTGAAATAGTAAACCAAGATTTACATCTTACAGAAGCTAAATACATGATGCTTACCAGCTTTTGCTTTATGCCTTTGCCATGTGGCTCAATGTAGAATACTTTTGTAGACTCCTGTATGAAAACAATTTAGCAGGAGTCAAATGGAAATACTTTGTGATACTTGATACACGATTTATCAAATCTACTTATTGTCGAAAACAAACAAAAAATGTACAAACCGTCTTCCAACTTCCAACAACAAAGTTTCAGTAAGGGGTTTATGATTGTCGCATTTATTAATGTTATTGCATTTCTTTATGGCAGTGACTTTCAAAGAATGAAACTTCAATACAAAGAGTACCAGCACATTCTTTGAATAAATGAAGAGTATAGTATATCTTTATGTTTAGGTGAGATAGAAAAATATTACCCTTTTCACAATCACTCGAGATTTCATTTTAGTGGTGGCTAATGATTGCATTGTTATTAGCCATAGTGTGATGGGTGAAAAATTGCGTATTATTATTTGGTTGTTTCTTATCAAAAGATATCCACTTGGATGGGTATTTTGTGCAAGATCATGAATTTGTAACTTTCTTTTGCAGCCATTTTCATGGTTCTGAATCGGTAGTTTTCGATTTTATCTTCTGAAAATTTAATTGAATAAGGCAAATTATGTCCTAAATTACTTACTATCGGGTACTTTTATTATCAATACATGTTTGCTCTAGTTGCAAATTTTAAAATATATAAAAAAGTCCTGAGTTTTTAATTTCCATTTATTTTTCAGGTATGTTTGCAATTCGAGCAGATAGAGAATTTGTTGTAGAAGAAGATTTCATGAAAGCTGTCCGTAAAGTGGCAGATAATAAAAAGCTCGAATCGAAACTTGACTATAAACCTGTGTAAATATTTTATACCATTTTGTTTCCTTTTCATGAATAAATATGTTTACAAAAAGAAGCATAGTAATTTTATTTAAATACGAAAAATCAAACAATCATTTCCAGTTCTCTTGCATAGTCTATTACTTGCGTTGCGAGTTCAAATGCTGGTATTGTGTCATCAGAATGAGGTTTATCTTCAACATCAAAAATGTAATAATCACCCACAACATTCCATCCTCTCTGAAAATGAAAGTGAAAAATTTACTAAATCATCTGAAAATATTGATTGTAAACTTGATAATATTGATAAATATTTAAACTCATTTTTCTCATTACACAAAAGTTACCTTTCTGGCATAATCAGTTACATCTTTCTTATGCGTAAAGAATAGCATCCGACTTGCCTCACTAAGAGCCAGTTTTTCATAAGCTTTCTCAATGCATGCAGCAATTTCATTTCTTACTGTGTCAAGAAGTATGTTGATAAAAAAGTTGTAACTTTCTGCTGGCACATTACCACCTGATAAAAATACCTAACAAAAGAGCAACTAGATTAAAGCAAAGTACAATGGATGCCAGATAAAAAACATAACAACCCCCCCCTCAAAAAAAAAAAAAACTGAAAATAAGCTTCAAGCTGTTCCTTAGTTGTCATGTTAAAGAAAGGTTTTCCTTTTAATGTCTAAAGATGAAATAACGAATTCACTACATCAATGACGAAATAATATGTAGCAATACTGTAGAAGTATTGCTACATGTTATTTCGTAGGCAGAAAAGGAGGATGAGGCAGTTTTCCATTTGCTTCGCCCCCCCCCAAAAGGAAGTATTAGATATGATTCGTTTAGATGGTTTAATGTAGTATGAAGAACTGTTCATAAATTTTATATTATTATATTAAGAAGGGAGAAAAAATTCAATCGCTTACAAAATTACTCCATGTATTGCAAGAAAGATATTTGGGGAAAAAAAAAAAAAAAAAAAAGTACTCTATAGAATTGGATTTGGAGAAGTTTAAAGAATGTTACAAAGAATGCTGTATGTTAGAAAAAGTGAGGATGTCATTCAAAAAGGCCTCTCACTTATTTAGACAAAACCTGGATGGACAGCAATTACACTCTCAAAATTCTGGCAATTGGAGACAGTTGTTTAGTGTTGCACAGACTGGAAATGCACCTCAAAGATTCACTGTTTTATGTGCTGAAGGGTGATATGGGATTTTTAACATGATTCAAAAAAAAAAAAAAAAAAAGACATTTGAGGAGTATTGTGGGCAAATGAATTTTTCTCATTTCTCATCTTTTGAAAAGTGGACTTCTTCTTCCACCAAGTGTAGTGATTTTAGACAATGCCTCTTATCACACTGTCTGATTAAATAAATGTCCAATTATGAAAAGCCAAAAAGAAATTATACATTGTTTTTTTATCAGAAAAATTTAGTTTTCTCCAAATTTACGGAAAATAGAGTTGATGAAGCTCCTGAAGAAAGGTCGTATGAATCTGATTCAATGCTCAAAGAACACTAAGAATGGCTACACAGGTATAGCTGTATAGCAATACAGCTGAAGACATGGCAATGGATCAATTATTAAAATTTACAGAAGCTCTTGAAAGTGAAATGACAGAAAACCATAAGAAGTACTACATTCATGTAGAAAATGACTACTGAAAGAAAGATAATTTTATGTACTCTTAATTATTTCTTCTGATAAAGAGGATGACGACTTGAAGGGACTGGGATATTAAGAATAATAGAGGTAAGAAATTTTTTTTTGGGGGGGTGGTAATATATAACACTACATATGGCTTTAAGGGTAAAGATCAAATAAATATAATTATTTTATTGTAGTTTAGTTTAATAATTATATATTACCATTACAATTATTAATTACTACATTTTTCAGGTGTAATACACAAATTTTAGTATAAAGAAGAATAATTATTAATTACAATTATAATTCATTTTAAGAATAACAAAAAAAATCATGCTATAAATGTAATATTGAATAATTATACTTAAAATTATAACACAATAATATTTACTTACTATTAATCAAAACTCATTTAGAAACACTTATATTTTTATGAATATATAAATAGATGCACAATATTTAAGCCTCCAAGCGGCATACGGCCTACAATATTTTTTGTGATATCTGTAAGAACGTATATATACGTGCATATTAAAATATGTCAAAGAAATTAAGGCAATATATCAAAAGAAAACAAATCCAGATATGAAATACTAGGAGAGTTTTTTACATTAAAATCAAAAAAATAATTTCTTCTGATAGTAGTTTTGGGAAATTTGTGCTTTTTTAGCAAAAACCCTGGCCGCTCAGAGGGTTAAGCACAATATAATAAAACAGCTAATTATATATGATTATCACCATATATCAGCTTAGATGAATCAGCTTAGAATTTTCTGTTTACGCATCTATCCTGCATGAGAACTTTATAGAATAAACAGAGAAAAATTCCTTACAACACGATTCATGTCCATCCATCCTATTTCATAAATAAATTGGTCTGAACAGCACGTGTGTTTGTGCTCATAACTGCGATAGTCAAAACTACAGATAAAGGTATAAAATGGTCCAAAAATCTGAATGAAATTGCACTTAAAATTTAAGCTTAAAATCATAACAGCTTATTAAATTGTTAGAAATAAGTTGTGTTAAAGTAGTTTTTTTACTAAGAAATTTTTTTCATAGAAGTTCTTTTAAGACTTTTAAACTAAATTGTTTTTTAAAGAATGCAACATTTTTAAATATTAGAAATCAACATTTTATTGTTGATTTATATTTACATGCATAATTCAAAGTTTTCCCTTAAACACCTGAATATTTTTAAAATTTTAAATTATCCCCTTTCCAAAAAAAGCTGTAGTTCTTCAAAGAAACTATAATTACTCATTTACCTTATTATAACTTCCTTCCATTAAATACTGCTCCATGGAAACTGGATGTCGAATATACACATTAGTTTGAATCTCCTTTGCAGGAAGTAACTCCAGTTCCTGTACCAAACAAGATCATAAGTAACAGTGATATTAAAAATTTTCATATCAATTACGAATTCATACAATTTAATATAATTTTTTGGAAAATATCTTCACCATACAAATTTCTTGCTTTGGAAAATAGAAATTGTTCCCACTTCATAATGATAAATATTTCTTGTAAGCCTTTTGCATAAACAATTCCCCCCCCCAAAAGAAGCAGCAACATCTTGACTAGTACTGTTTTATCATCACAAATGCAACAATCTCCATTAGTATTAATTAATATAAATGAATAACGATATGTTTTTCATCTGGTTATTCTTTTAGTTTAACAAATTTTCTATTGGTGATTTGAAAATTGAGTTGGTAAGCTGCTCAGTATTGCAAGAAATATGCAAATGTAATATCGGGGTTTCTTTTTTAAAATTTTTATATTAACTGTGATGTCTGAAAGCTTATTATTCTTTCATCAAAAGTAAACAGAATCAAAGCATTGATTTTATATATTTCTTTATATATATTGTCTATTTTGCAACAAAAGAATCAAAATTCCATATTTGCTAAAAAGCTGTTACACAGTTTTATGTTTCTATTTTGGATTTCTAATTACCAATTAATAATATAATTATTAACTGATCAATTTAGTTTTAGATTTTTTTTAATTAATTCTTTAGACTTTACACAGCTATAATTTTATTAATCTATGAATTATATATATTATAGTTCTATGCTATCTATGAATTATATATATATATATATATAAAGAGTTTCTTGTAATTGTAATAAACATGTTTTGAGTTCTAATTGCAGTAAGAGTGTGCAACCTTATCCAATCAGTATAAGGAGTCAGATATGCTACCTGGCACCACTCAACACAGGGTAATTTGACAGTCACCCCCAAAGTGAAACCAAAATCCCCCCAAATCATTTGCCGAAATGCAAGTTAACACATTCTGCTCTGTTAAAGGATGGGGTATCCATGGAAGTAGCTAATTTAACCTTATTCAAATCATCAGGCACTTTTTGGAATATTTAGTCTGTCTGATAGTAATTTTATAATGTGGGTTTTCAGAAATACTGCCTTGTAATAGATCCTTATTTACAGAGAAAAGCTATCCAGAACAGGCATCATCTTCAAGGTTGAAATTCTCATGCTTAACTTATCAAATCACCTATGTACAGTGCTATCAGAAACAGTACTTTGTCCATACGTGGTACAAATTTTCTGAGAAGTCTGACTAGCACTTCTTCCATTTTTTTAAAACAAAAGAGAAAATATAATGAAAATGAATTTTCAGGTTCCTTGTACGTAAAATGTCACTGAAACAAAAATTATGCATGGGTAGACATGATCATTATTTAAACATCATTTTGAATCAATGTCACCACATACCATCAGAAATAAAATAATATGAATCTGTGATTCAATTGACAAATCGCAGAACTTTCAAAGATGACCCAATATAAGATAATTTCTTCTATATCTTTATAATTGCTGAGGGACTAATTTATAAATGAATATGTCTATTCAACAGCTTAGCACAAAATGTTTTCAGATATTAAACTGAAATTTGCATATTAACCTTTTTGCGACGGCACACCTTTGTTTAAGACGCTCGCGCGGGACAAAACGGAATCGAAAGCAGTCACAGTACAGGATGGAGGTTTTGCGTCGTGGGGAATCGCTTCTAGCATCGTAATTTTTTGTATCATTTTAGATTATTACTTGAGCTCTTATATGTTAAAATTAGCACTTAATAACTTTTTTTCTCTATTTTACATGAAAATATACTTAAAAAATTGCTTATCTTGTAAAATAATTTTCGGAAGCGCTAAAGCGCTATCCAAATTATTCCAAAGTTTTAATTGATAAAATCCATCAATAAAGTTTAAAATTAATAAAACAACACAATAAAGACTATTTACAGTAAGAAGTAACAAAATTTAAAATGAAGACTGAGTGTGGTAAATCTCGAAGCACGGAGAAGTATTACTTTCTAACTCTTAGAAAAAGTATCATTTCTAACTCTTTAGAAAATGAATCATCACTCTCATCTGTGTTAGTTAAATGGTTCATTGACCATACGAGGGTATTCTTCATCTGATAAATAGTGCCTTCCCGCCATAATAGACTAGAGGTGAGGCTTTACGAAATAAAAAGAGAAGAAACGGAAATATATCTGAAGGCAATGCAAAACGTAACAATACTCCACATACTAACCCTAAAAGACCGTACATAGTAAAGGGAAAAAAAAAAAAAAAAAAAAAAAAAAAAAAAAGGAATTGGATATAAATCACACACGGGGATGTTTTCATTAACATGCAGTAATTTAAAGAGTTCACCTCTGTTTACGCTTTCCCTTCCCCCCTCACAAGAGCTGATGAGTAAAATACCAAAGTCAAGCAGAATAATATCAAACTCAAGGTCAGGAACCTAAAATTGTGTTCATTTCAAAAGTAATAGACATAGGATGCCATCTAGTGGCCTTCAGAAAAACGTTCCAGCTGAAAATGCGTATACGCATCACCCGTCCTCTGAATGTAATCTCTAGCGATGCGTGGATGGGATGCCCGGCTGTAAAAGACGTTCTTATGGAATGCGTATATGGGACACCTGTCCTGAAAGGGTTAAGATCTTTGCATTTTAGTATGTTTTATAGCCTTCTTAAATATTCGTAAAACACTCTGAGTTGGGTGTAAACGTTTTCAGATTGCTATTTTTATTTATTTTTCTTATGTGTCAATCTGATACCTTTTTAAGTTGACATGCCCATAAAAATAAATAAATTTGTTATGAGAGTTATTTGGATGTTTACACAGCGTTGACAAGATACAATTTTTGTTCACAATTAGTGCAGGAATTTTCAAGGAACTTTTCAAGTAATTTGACCTCAAATAGCGTGCCAATGTCAGCAAGTACAGGATTGAAGGGATTACTTATAGCTAATTCTTCAATCTGGCAAAAACAGCAATTATTTTCGAAAATAAAATGAACATGACTATCAAAGGATTACAGTTTTCTTAAATTTTTTACTAATTACACAGTTTAAAGAAAAACTCTTTAAAAGGTGTTTAGGGCTTTCAAATCACAGATTGCATGTCCAGACAAATTAAAAAGAATTGGTATTGGACAGAAATATTTGTTATAAATTATCAATGAAATAAATGCACAATAATGAAGGCTTTCTCTTTAATGTCTTGAATAATGAAGTCATTTTTTATTAAATAACTGCCCAAAACTCTCTATCATATAAATTTCTAATTAAAATTACTAAATATTAAGTAAGTAATACAATAATATTTTTATTTCTGCTAATTATTAGGTTATCCAGAGGAGTTAGCAGTTTTTTATGATAAATATAAATGAAGAGGACAAAAACACTGAAGAAAATTTCATTGAATGTAATATTACAACTGAATTTAACTACATAGCAAGGAATAATTCAAAATACAGAATTACTCTCTTATATGAATTTCGTTGTTTGTTTGAAAATTTTTTTAAGTAAAGAAGGTGGATTAAAAAGCATAGTAAAATGACATATAAATTTTTTTTCTGAAAGAGACCAGTATTTTTGAGAAAAAAATGAAGTAACAGTACACAGCATAACCAATCTCAGACCAAAATTATGAGAGTTGTCTCACAGATGTTCATTATACAATACTTACCGTATGAAATTCAGCTACTCTGTTTTGTGCCAAAAGGCACAATAAGTTGAGGCCCAGAAGTTGGTACTTTGATGCAGATTCTGGAAGATCATTTCTAGGAGGAAAATCAATCTTTAAAATCAGCTCTGAATTACAGTAACAGATTAATATATCCATGACTATTTTTCACTTTACATTATTAAAAATATCATACAATATTTTACTGCATTCATATTCTCCTCTTAATACACCAGCTGGATAGGGAAAATAATAACCTTAAAAGTACAGAATGCATCAACTATCAATATACTGCTCAAAATATAAATTGTACAGCATTTTATAAAAATTATTGACATTTTCTCAACTATCTAACTATTTCATACGTCACATATTCTTTGCAATATGAAATGCATAGTTTCATTCTTTGAAATATATGTAAAAGAAAAAATAAACATCATAATAAAATAAACAAACATGTTTTTCCAAAAAATGAAAAATTATAAATTTGTTTTAAACTATCACATTTAGATTAGAATCTATATAATGAATTTTGTGGTAACAAGAGGAAAAAAAATCAAGTTACTATATTTAGGCAGAACTAAGACTGAAAGGCATGATTAAAGAGGTGCATATGGCAAGTACAATTATATTAAATACAAATTAAAACATTTTTTTACATACCTTGACAGAAAAAGTCTATCAATACTTTTTAATGCCTGATCTACTTCGATTAGCTAATTTTCTGTAGATATATATAAGCTATTAATCTATTAATATATAATAGCCCTGAGTAATATCTGTCTGACATCCAAGTTCTAAGCATTTTAATCACCTTCTCTCTCCCTCCTTCCCTCTTTTTTTGGGGTGGATAAAATACTGCTGGTATGATAGGCATTGCTTTTTGTTAACAGCATTGGCAAGATTTCAAATTTATTCTTATCTGTATTCTAGCTTCAAACTTTGAATATTTCCTTCCTTGAAAGGTTTTAGTTTGATAAAGAATTTAGTTAATAATCTAAAAACATTTCAGAATTTTGTAACAGATACATATTTAGATGTTGAGATTTTTAAATGATACACATGAGATGGTCAGAAAAATCGAGCAATTTTCAAAAATTCACAAAGCAATCAGAAATTTCATTTAAAAGAATTTTACCCATTCTATCTGATGGTGAAACAACAAAATTCTGAAATATTTAGCTTATTTGTTAAAAGAAGATATGTGCAAAAAATCATTTCAATATTAAATTTTAAAAAATCTTAAATTTTGAAGAACTTGCTTCACCATATTGTATTGTCATCTATAAACAGTGTTTGTGCAAAATATGAGTTACATAGCTTACCAAGAAATAGTTTAAAAATTTATGACAAACACTAAGAGTAAGCTAAGTTAAAGTTCATGGAAAGCATTTTGATATATGATGATGCAAGTTCATTGGCTAATATAGTTTCATAAATAATCCATAAACTCAAATTAAACTAAAAGACACAGACAATACAGACACAAATAATAGGTGAATCAATTAAAAACATATTGAAATTGATACTCATTTTTAAAATCAAATGAATGCTCAGCATATCTGATGGAATTCAAAATGATTTTAAAAAAACATTTAAAACAAATTAGGCTCTTAAAACTTATGCAGATTACTAAAATCCTAGTGCGCTGTGTGGAGCTTTAAGTTCCATTATAGCCATTACTGCTTTCAGAAGTTGTCTCTAATTCTTATTTTATTTCCGTTTAACTATTTGTACTAAGTATTTGTACCACATACCTGATTAAAACAAATTTTTACCAGCCCTCTTTTTTTGACTGAGTACTGTAAGGCCATCAGCTAATTTTTAATGACCAATCCAAGATTCTTGTCTTTTTTTTTATGACCACTTATCAATTCTTGAAAAAGATGAACGAGACCTGTACTGTTCTCAAATCCTTGTTTACTTTTATGGTGGTCCAAAAAGAACGTTTCATTTCTGGGGAAAAAAATGGAACTTAGGAGTCCTTCATTCAAAATTCCCACACATCTGTTTAAACTAGAACTTAAATCTTCATTCAGATTTCCAATACATCTGTGTACAGGTAAATTGTAATACATGAACTGCCTATCACCGACCACCCTGTTTTTGAGTACCAAGTCGGAGTCAGAGAATTTTCATGGAAATTTTCCATCTTGTGAGCATCACACCTGCAAACATTCAAGAATGCTCTGAAAAATTTCCAGGCAAATGAGAATGCAGAAGTCATTTTGACATGCCCATGAAATCTTGAACAAAAACAGTGAATGCAACACCAGAGAAGCGTTTTTAATAGAAACAGTGAAACCTTCTCTCTTGTGTTTTGCAGCTCTGTCAAAAGCCATTTCTTGTTCACTCTGTCAAGACCATTCTTATCTCTGCAGAGGGATCAAATTGGTGGTAGTTGGCCTTTTTCACTACCTAACTTGACAGCAACCTGCTTAGAACAGCCAGAAGAGGCAACAATGCTGTTTGCTTTACACAGGAACTCCACTCTGCACCAAAATGAAAAACTCCCAAAGAACTTTACTCTCCAACTGACAAACAGGAACTTTGCAGACTTTATACATAATCTGTTTGCTTTCCTTCCTTTTTCGATAACGACTTATCTTGTAAATCATTTGCACATAGCCTAGAATGTTCAATAAATGAAATAGGCTACTCTACTTATTTGTATCAACTTGCTACAGCTAGTTAGACTATGGGCAATTCAGTGGCAGCTGAATGGGATCAAATGAGCGAGACATCTCCGGTTTTCATGTGGAATTCCAACCAACACTGTGTCTGGAAGTACCTGCGGAAATATGCAAAGGAAAGATTCCCCCTTCTTCCAACAACAGTGAATGTATTAAGTATTAGTACTTGGTTTTGTAAAAAATGCATTTACAAAAAAAAAAAAAAAAAAAAAAAAAAAAAAAAAAAAAAAAAAAAAAAAAAAAAAAAGAGCTACTGCACAGTCATTTGTGTTGAGTGAAAGATGAAATGAAAAAAGAGTAGTCTTCCTCAGGACAACTGTGATAGTAAAGTGCTTTCTGGAAGGGGGTGGAGAAGATGTGTATCTGCTTCTCTGCTAAATGGGCTAAATCAATTTGGGCATTAATCTTTGCAGAGACAATATTTATTTTGTTATGTAAAATTGCTATGCCAGATTTATATGTTTAGCATTGTCATCTGTTTGAGCTGAAATAGATTAATTAAGAATTAGTTAATTTCTTTAAATTTTCTGCTAATCACATGTATTTTGCCATGCATCCCATAAACTGCATTGTTATTTTGTGTTATTCTCATAACTTCTGACATGTGAAAATCCCCAGAGTACACAAATGGATAGCTTTATAAAACTCTATTATTTTGTATTTTATTGTATGATTCTAAAATTTTTGGAATTTGCAAAATGCCATATGTTAGGAAGGGTAGGAAACAAAATCTTATAAATCTGTCTGAAGAACTAGGTTTAGAGGCTTCCCTAATGCAAAAATACAAGACCTTAAAAACCTCATTATAGAGAATCCTCAATATGATGAAAAATTTGTTGAGGCAATGCTAGAGTTGATTATTGAAACTCGGATTAAATGACGTACGCTTGAAGAAGCCACAAGAGGGAGGAAGTCCAAATTAGAATTATTTCAGAAGATTAACTCCAATAATGGCAAATAAAACTCTCAGAATAATATTCCGAGATCTATGAAACTTAATCCAGAGATATAAAGATTCAGCTCAAAGAGGCTTTTCGTGTCAAAATTGTTCAACACCAGCATTGTGCAGGTAGTCTATATAAAAATTTTGCTTTCGAGATAAGAAATTATCTGTATGAGTGGTTGAACAGATGGAAGTACGAGATTTTTGATTCGCTGAAAGACTTAATGTTGATGGATCTAAAATGTTACATAAATCGCAATATTTGCGAATATTTTGTGGATGAATGTCCAAACATAATAAATATCTTCTGCGGAACTACTCAAGAAATTAGACGAATATGAAACAGTATGAAGGTCCATAAAAAGCCAAGATGTTTTGTTAAAAGCACTGAGCAGAACTCCAACTTTAAAGAAAGAGGACTTTGCAGATCGAATATATCCTGATGACTAGGTTTCAAAAGAGAAGACTTCCAAAAAAGTGGAAGTAGAATGTCTTCAAAAAATGGAGAGCACCTAGATGCTATAAATGCACCCCAAAACACCCAGGGTTAAAAGCCGCGGCATACACTAATGAAGTCATAAATAATTTAGATATTTTGGGTACCCCAACATACAGCTTAATCCATATTTTAGCACTGTGAAAGCGAATGATCAGAAGACTATGCTTAGACATACAGTATTGTACAGTTCTATGCTTAGACATACAGTACTATTGACTTAATAGGAAGGTATCACAAAACATCAGAAATGAAATCTCATCTTGATCAAGCAACTCTTGGATTAGCAACTGATTCAGTTGCTTCTTGCACATATAAAACTCAAAAGAGTTTTGGGAAGGTAATTTACCAAAGCAGCAGTAATTAGCCAAGCCATAAATCAGGAATACTATTTGTTGGGTAATAAAACAGCTCAGATAATCGAGCACAATAAAATGCTCCTTGATAAAGATGATGATGTAGTTTCCACACATGTGAAGATGGGACGAAGCTTTAACCCATACAAAAAAAAAAAAATCTGATGTGTGCACCACACGACTTCCTTGTACGGAATAATAAATTACACGCATTTTTTCTTGCATTTCATTTAAACTTATTGAATTGAATTGAATTAATCAATAGTGCATAAATCACAATAGAATAAACACACTCTTTAAAATTCAGTATATTTGTTTACCATTAAATCTACTTGTCCATAGCGCATCAACCGCAATAGAATAAATGCATGCTTTAAAATTCACTGTATTTGTTTACTATAGCGACACCCTGGCCCTAGGTTGACTTAACAGCGCTACATTTCAATAATTTTTTAACTCAGAATGTACAAAATTTGTACCATCTTAATTATCTAATTGTTGCCACATGTTCTATTCAAAAACTATAATAAATCTAAAATGATGTATAAAAGAAAATTAATCAAAGAACAACAACAACAACCAAAAAAAAAAAAAGTTTTTCACAGACAATTCAGTATTTCTCATTCAATTATTTCAGTTCTAACTTCGCCACAAGACAAAAATACATAAAAACTCAAAATGACTGTACTGAAAATTATGAAGTAAATCTTAAACACTTATTTCCTTGAATAAATTCCAGAATGGATAAAGCATGATTTAATTCAGAATAATAAAGGAAGGCATTATCTTTGTTATTGCGAAGCTTACTTTCTCTAGATTGGCAACAAATCTACTACTATCCTGTTGTTTCAAATGTAAACAAGCAAGGCCGACATGCCAAAAATTATTAGGCTTAGCGGCACTTAAACAACTTTTAAATTGTTGATAATTCTAAAAATATTGCATACAGATTTACTAAAGGCGTAAAAACCTTAACCAGAAGATAAGAACAGCGTAATTTAATCATTTTTAAAGCAAAAAATGCACTATTTACAAACATATAAGAATAAAGAAACTGAGAGCCAAGTAACAGATTAGAGATATATATATACATATATTTATATACTTTCTGGTGCGGCTGATTGCAACCAAAATACGAGGTGCACATCTACATGTTATAGCAGTCCTATATACAAAATTTTAGCATTCTGACACTACTCATTTTTGAGTTATACGAGATACATACGTATGCACAGACGCTACGAAAAATTCTTTTCAGAATTCCTTTTAAATTAGTTTTACAATTTTTTTGGGGTTAAAGAGTCCTTTATTCTGTCCTTAGATACAGATGTCAAGCAAAATCATCATTAAATTGCATTCGATAGCAGTGAAAATGGATATTTGCATTGAAATATGATGTCTGAAACATCTTTATCGCGATTACAATACTTCCTTTTTACTTCGTACAAGAAAGTAAAAAGCGAAGACAAAAATCAAGGAATTCACACAAATGAAAATGGGAAGCTTCCCTACTGAGTTAACTAATGCTTGAGGCAAAGAAAAAGTGAAGTGTCTGCACCATTCAGACAAATCGTGATGACAAAAGAAGTCATTAACCCACAACATGAATGTGCTTCATTAGACTAAAGACTTCATTAGGGGGGCTTTTTTTTTAAAAAAATTAAAAAGGGGGAAAATTTTGCTAAGAAAAGGATGCCAGTCTATAAGGACCCTCGAAAAAAAGTTAAGAAGGAAACTCGCACAGGAAAAACCTTGGAGTGGTTTCTTTCAAGGTGGATTATCCTGAAATTGAAAACTGAACATCGAAATTGAACAGATAATTGGCAAAGCAGTTTCCAAGACAAGAATAAAAGATTTAACAATGGCTGACAAAACCCTACATATAACAAAGGCACGGAGGTGTGAAGACATGACCAATAGATTGAGGTTACACCTGAATTAGATCTAATAAGAGCCAAGAAATTGCTTTCAGCTCTGTAATTGCAATATTTCATATTTGCTTTTTGTGTCCTGGTCATATTAGAAATATGCAGGATTTATTGTGTTTCTCAGTTTTTATAATATAGTGTTTCAGCTTTAAAACTTTGAGTATATGTACCGCCCAGGCAAGCTGAATAAAATGATGAGAGGCTGAAGGCATCTCAAAACAGGCCACAATATGAGTTATAATGTGATTGTTCCCATTCCTTTACTGAATATATATTTGTATGCTGTGTAATTGTTATATCAGAATAGTACATAAGTTATTCTTCTTTTAAACATATTGTGATGTATATGTATTTTATTGAAATTTGCTAAGTTCTTTCTTACCTCTAATAGTAAGACTTACATGTAAACTGTCAATTAATGGCATTATTATTATTATTATTATTGAATGCAACTACATCCCTCTACAAGTGTTCTTTGAGGAAATTACTTAAAGGACAGAGGTCACTATCTCCTGAGAGTTTTTTTCCCCCTGAACTATTGCAGTTGTGAGATGAACTTTTCCTGTGTCTCAACTCGAGGAAGGAATATAACTGTAACGTCATTACCTATTTTCTAAAGACCATTCCGAAATTCTCAAAAAAGTTTTTTTTATGACACCTTAGGAATTCTTGGCAAAGCAGAAAGTAATCTTAAGTATGTACTGTTTTCAAGTCTCTGCTTTGTGTTATGGGGTCCATTTGTTTCATTTCTGAGGAAAACTAAGGAGATTTTCATTTAAATTTTCGACGCATATTGTACTACATCAACTGCTTGTCACTAACTACCCTGGTGTTGAGTACCAAGTTGGAGCCAAAGAATTCTCATGGAAATTTTCCCAGGCTTGTGAAATATTATACCTGCAAACAATCAGGTGTTCTGAAAATTTTTTGCGCGAATGAGAATGCAGAAATCTTGAACAAAACATGAATGCAGACCCAGAGGACAGTTTGTTTGCTCTGTCAAGAGCATTCTTATCTCTGCAGAAAGATCGGACAGCTGGTAGCTGGATTTTTCACTACTTAAGTTGAGAGCAATCTGCTTAGAATAGCCAGCTATGGCCAGGAGAGGCAACAAGGCTGTTTGCCTTTATGCAGGAACTACACCCTGCATCAAAATATTTGTTGGTTTACCTGATCCTTTTCCCAGCGAGACCCTTTATTTGCACATAGGCTAGAATGTTCAATAAATTAAATAGAATTAAATAGACTGCTTGTTTTTGTCAGTTTATTACAATACTCTAAACTTCTGGCCTTAAAATGAGAATGTATAATCTCTTATTGCTTCTACAGTTTTCAGGAATTATTCTGAAATTTCAAAAGTTTAAATTAACTTCAAGACTCCTACAATTTCCCACAGGAGAAATCCAAATGAAAACAGATACTTATTTTCAAAGCAAAACTATTATAATTTAAAAGTGATTTTATTTTTCTTTTAGTTCGTTACTGCTAAAAAATAGTTTCCCAATGCCATGATTTTCAATAATGTTTACATAGTTTGAATTTCTAACCCATAAAATTAATCAATAAAGAAAGAAAAAAATATCTTACTGGTAATCCAGATAGTAGCATTTCAGTTGAGCCATATATCTTTCAAAGGCAGGGATGTTTTTATTTTTTATGCTCCACTGAGCACCTAGTTCTAAAATATCACCTAAGGTAAAAAAATTTTTATTAAATATATAAGCATTTAAAAATTATAAGTTATTTCTTGAAATTCAAAGTACAATATAATGCTAGTTATCTAATAATAATTATTTCAGACACTGGCTATAGTAAAGTTTCAGTTTAATGCAATAAAAATATTCATTTATAATTCTCAGTATCAAAGAATATAATATCCCGAAATCATCTGTCAAATATATTTATCTGATAAACAGCAAAATTACACCTTATATATTAATTTCCATTGCAGCATTAATAATCAGTAGTCACAATCAATTTTACAATGCTACAATACCTTTTAGGTGATTCTCTGACTAAAGCCCACAGAAGAAACCGCACAGTTATTGCCAACATGAGAAATATCCAAATGGATAAAAGCCTACATTGATAAATCCCTACATAAATAAAATATTACATGACTGCTTTTTAGTATATAATGTATTAATGATTGTAATTATAGCAAATGCAGTATTTGAGGCCTATTAAATATTTGATATTACAAAAATATATTCAAGGTGATGGAGTTAATCTTCCATGTAGTCTTGCTTATTTAAAACCAGTATGACATCTACTACATGCTTTGAAAAGCATGCTGAAGAAGCATTTCACAGAGTTTTAACTTTCAGAATATGTAATTAGTTGACTTACATAAAACCAGTTCTTTGTAGAAAACCTATCAGAGACAAAGCTTCAAGCAAAATATTTTCATCTGTAATGCAAAATGTCCTGTACAGCTAGTCTGGACATCAGTTTCAGAGAAACTGTTTTGGATAGGAACTCTTCAGTGGTTGGAGAAGCTCGTTGCTCGGAATAACCCTATGCATTATTACATGTGATAATCTCGTAAGATAGCAAGGATAAACTATTCTTCTAGGATAGGCCATTTTGTTGTTCCTTCCTTCACAAAGCACATTCATTCTTTGGCAAATTAATTATAGTGATATCATTTTTCTTGCACTCGCATATGGAGCTCTCGCCAATACCAAACCCTACTGCTACATTTCCATTTCTTTTGCAAAATGAATGAACTCGCATTTAAAACCAGAACTATGTTTGTTTTGTTTGGCAGCAGCCATATTTACTACTAAGAGGAACACTAAATCAACTGCATTTAAGTTAAAGAAAATGCAATTTACTAAAGCCTTCGATGTTCACTTCAAATGATTACAGAAAAAAAAAAAATCAGACCTCTAATTCCCTGAATTCATTTAGGTTGAAAGTACATTCATATCCAAAATTATTTCTTTCTTTTCTCGAAATCCTGGTATAACATTCTTGTGCACACGTGCATTGAATATGACCCACACTCTTTGCAGAATTATTTGTTCCCCCAAGCATTCCTCCTCACATACGCATTGTTCCCCTTATCATCTGTCACCACTATTCGAATGGGTAGAGAAAATCTTCAAATGAATAACTTCAAAAGATAAGATCATTGCACATATACCTTTCAGGTTACTTTGTATAAAAAAGGGTGTGCATTACATGGCAAATATACCTAAAAATTAATAAATGTAGTATGAAATTACAGGTGCACATTATATACCAGAATATACAGTATTTGGAGACCTTTTATTTCCTTGTACGAAGTAAAAAGGAAGTACTATAATCATGGAAAATTTCGGCTATCATATTTCAACGAAAACATCCATTATGTGTCAAGCATATCAAATACAATTTAACGATGTTTTTGTGTAACATCTGTATGTAAGGACAGAATAAAGGACTCTTTTCCCCCCCAAAAAAAATTATAGAACTGATTTAAAATGAATTCTGAAGAGAATTTTTCATGGTGTCTGTGTGTACGTATCTCACATAACTAAAAAATGAGTAGCCTCAGAATGTTGAAATTTTGCATGTAGAACTGCTATAACATGTAGATGTGCACCTCATATTTTGGTTGCAACTGGACGCACTGAAAGTATATAAATACATGTATCCATTCCGTACTTGGCTAAGTGAGCTCAGTTTCTGTACTCTTATATGTTCGTAAATTACACATCTTTTGCTTCAAAAATGATTGAATTATGTTCTTCTTATCTTCTGTTTAAGGTTTTTATGCCTTTAGTAAATTGCATGCAATATTTGTAGAATTATCAAAGAAATATTTGTAGAATTTACATTTGAAACTTAGCAGAATAGTGGATTTGTTGCAAATCTTGAGAAACTAAGCTTTGCAACAACAAAGATGACTTCATTTATTATTGTGAATTAAGTCATTTTTAATCCATTCTGGAATTTAATCGAGGAAATAAGTGTTTAAAATTTACTTCATAATTTTTAATATATATATATATTGAGTTTTTATGTATTTTTGCCTTGTTGCAAAGTGAGAACTGAAGTAACTGAATGAGAAATGCTAAACCGTCTGTGAAAAACTGTTTCTTTCTTTTTTTGTTTGTTTAATTTCTTTTATACATCGGTTTAGATTTATTATAGTATTTGAATAGAACATGTGGCAAGGATTATATAATTCTTCGGATGATATAAATTTTGTGCATTCCAAGTTATAAAATGAATGAAATATAAAGCTGTTAAGTGAACCTAGTACCAGAGCATCACTATGGTAAACAAATAAAGTGAATTTTAAAGAGTGCATTTATTCTATTGTGGTTTATGCGCTATTGACGAAGTAGATTTAATTCGATCCAATAAGTTGAAATGAAATGCAAGAAAAAGTGCGTATAATTTAATATTCCGTACAAGGATGTCATGTGGTGTACACATAAGATTTTTTTGTTTGTCTATAAAAGTTTAGGGGTAAAAGGTTAAGTAAATGTTCAAAGAAAACATAAGATGATAATGTAATTGTGATTATTCCTTCAGGCATCCCCCCATCACTTGTCAATTCAGTATACAGTCAAAAGTCGTTAATCCGGGCGCCCATAATCTGGACCTCAAAGCTACATACTTTCTACGCATGCGTCAACACATAATGCGTTCACACATGCGCATAATACCTTTACGCATGCGCATCATACGTTTATGCATGCATGTTTAATGTATAATGGATGGTATAAGCTAAGCTAAAATTATCTAATTACCTATTTCAGTTAATGTTGCAGATTGCATTGTTCCTTAATCTTCAAATTGGATCCAGCTTATTAATTTTTTGCAGACTGTTGGAGCAATTTTATAAAAGTAAGCTTGAACTTTCGATTATGTTGTTGAAAATATGACCTATTGTAACGCTTTTTTAGCATCATCTCTCCTCCTTGAAATAATTCTAACTTTTAAATTAAGGTTTAGTTCTAATTTTAAAGGGATATAGCAATTACTTCTACTTTGTTTTTTACTGCCACTGTTTGCATTAAGAACGGACTGTTCCAGCCTAATTAAGATACAAAAACGAAACTTGACGTTACGTCATCTGGAAAGCCGAGTCGTGCCGATAGCTGATTGGTTGCTGTGAGATGACATCATGTCTACTTCATGTTGAAGTATCTCGCGTCGCTCTGGTTTATTCCTTCTCTCTGTTATACGGCCAATCTTCATGTATGCATCCCCTGCCTGGGCATCAATTAAAGACAGGGATATATCTAAATTACAAAGAACAAGCTGCTGCGCACCATCACAAATGCATATTATTTTGTATCAAATAAGACATTACACAAGGATTTGAAAATTCAATTTGTCATACAGCATCTTCATAGTTTAAACTCCAGATTTTTCCAGAAAGCAGTTACATGTCCTCACATGATAAAATTTAAAGTATTTGATTACATTCCACTACCTGAAGATAAAGAGTTACGTCCGCTTGCAGCCCACCTAGCTAGAGATCTGAACTTTCCTACATAAAGTAGAATCTTCCTCTATATAATTGTATATATTGTACATAGCATTTATGAATACTTTTCTCATTACTTTATCGAAGCTTCTTTAATTATAATTTGCATTTTTGTCACTGTAACTTTATATTAATAAACATATGCTTCTGAGAGTTTGTATTCTTTACAAATTCGTTATGTCATGTTTTATGCTTTATGCAGTATCTCAACATAATAACTCATGATTGCTTTACCTTGCACTGCTCCATCTGCAACGCGTCTTCTTGTCTGGCCTAATTCCTAGGCTTGCGGCATCTTGCTCGCCCCCCTTCTGCCATCACCTCATTCTCACAACTCTATCACATCAGACTTACTACTGTCATGTGCCTTCAGGCATCTCTTCAAGAGCTGGAAACAGAGCGCTTAGCGCACTACCCCAGCAATAACTGTTCGGATCGGATCGGATTGTTTATTCCTTCTGGTTCCTGTTTCATTGCTCCTTGGTGTGCCGTTCCAGCCCTCATTGGAAGACGATATTGCGATGTGTGCTGTCCAGCGATAAGTACCGTAGTTCCAGTCCGAGATGATTTTCCCTGGATTCTGCAAAGCGGCTATGATGTGAGCAATTGCCGTGGGCAGAATCCTGTTTCTACGGTTTGGTGGCGATAGATCTCAAGTTGTGGTTCCTGGTGGTCAACTGCCCTGGGCGGCATCCTGTTTCCAAAGTTAAGCAACGTCAAATTACAAACTGTGTTTTAAGGTGAGCTACTGCCGTGGGCGGCATCTTCAATACAAGTGTTTTTCCAGGACTAGCGGCGATGTTTTTCCAAGCTGTGATTTCTCATGTGTAACTACAGTGAGCGGCTTTTGTCAGTTAAAGTGCACTCAAGGTTTAGTTTAATTTTTTCAGGTGCCTTCTTGACCAAAAAGCGTGGACTGATCTATAGTGAAGTGAAATTCATATTAACCGCATAGTTTTTGTTCTGTGATAAGTTTTTCGCGTATTGAATGCCAGTATTCAAAGATCAGGTAATATATTTGCTGTATCATTAATAATGTACTATTTTTTAAAGGAAAAACCCTTGGGGTTAATTAATAGTCAACTAAGTGTAATTTGACAATGATAATGTTATACTCTTTAAGTTTCTAGTGTTGATTAAATTTATTTATTGTATTTTTATTTTCCTATATATTGTTAATAAATTGGTTAAGTTTAAAACTT